GCTTCATCATCTGGTCCCTCATGCAGCAGCTCTACAACCATTTACGCAGTAAATCTGCAAAATCTCTGAATACAGAAAATCGAAAGCACAAAATATTTTCAAATGCACATCAATATACATTCCTGTGTAGCAGCCCAGGGCAACTTTCAAATCCCAGACTCTCAGGTACGAGTCGTTTACACTAACCACGTCACCTAAAAGCCAGGCCAGATAGTGCGGCAGCCAGGATGCACTATCACTTGGAAGCATTTCTGGTGACAGGACCTTTCAACTCTCACACTAGTTTGAGTTTTATTTTGGTGACCTCCCCTAGCTTTGCTAGCTCATGAAGTAAGGAAGGAAAAAAATCTGACTATCTGTGCTGAACAAAAAAAAACAATATTTACTGAATACTTGAAATAGTAAATAATAAAACACATTAATTTCAAAGATAAAACCTAGAAACACTCAGTCATACGTGAAATAACATAATAAATAAATGAATGTGGGTCCTTTTTGACCCATGTTGTGCATTAGAGGGGAATTGATACAAAAAGCGTTTTTACTCAAAAAGTAGGAAAGAAAAAAAATAAAAGAATGATGTATTATGATGAAAAACAAGTTAATTGAGGAATACCTGGAATACGGAATGATGAAATTAATTTATTGAAAAGATATAGCACATAAAAACTCTGTCGGATCCTTTTTGTGCATCAAAGGGTTAAAAAAAAAAAAAACACTTTAGAGCCAATCAAAAGCTTCTGTGAAAAAGGCAAAGTTGACTGATTGGTTGGATTACCACCAGTCATAACAAATACAAAGGAGCTCTTGGTAGGATGACAAATCAAAATACTAGGAATTTCAGGAGGAGTTTGAACCTGTAAATTGCCTTGGCTACGGGCATGGTCATAAATAACAAGCCTCTTTCTTCAGATGAATATAAACACAATGGAGGAGAGCTGGCTGGTGAGGACTGTCGTAAATATCTCCAGCCCCAACAGCACCGTGTAGCTCCCTAGAAGGTTTGGAACGCTGCAAATGTCACCCAAGTAATATGTGCTCACTCCTTCTACATGAGGAGGGATAAAAAGAAGAGGAGGATGGCAGAAACAGAGGGAGAGAGAGAAGGGAAGGAGAGGGAAATGAGGGAGGAAGAGCAGGTGTGTGTGTGTGTGTGTGTGTTAGTATGTGTGTACATGCATGTGTGCGTGGGTGGCAAAGTGACAGGCGATGATTAGCCCAACCAGAGGAGGATATGTGGGAGGGAGTGTGTGGGAGTAGTGGGGCTGGCGAGAGAGAGACTCTGCCTCTTTAGGCAGAGATATACACAAGTGGATTAAAAGAGCACTCGTACTGTATAAACACATAGAAATGACACCAGGTTTATCTACACAAAATTCAGACAACCATGTAAGTACGAAAGGCGGGAACACATGTATGCACACACTGTACAGTGCACGCAAGGGGGGATTCCTATGGGAACGCGCTGTGTTGTGAGGGAATGGAGTAAGACTCAAGTCAGGCTATGGTGCATGTCGATATGTCGATAATGAAAACCGCAATAGAAGCAATTATTTCACAAGGTAATTTCATTCCATCCTTTAAACATAATGTATGTGCGAGTGCGTGTGTGCTACAAAGACAAGAGGAAAGAAAAAAAGGGGTAGAGAGGAAGAAGGAGATGGAGAACAGCTGCTGACTCTTAAGTGTGTAGGTGGGACCATTTGCAGCCCGTCTCTTCCTGAGCCTCCGTGGAATTAACAGGCTTTAAAGAGGTGCAACAAGAGCTCGAACTCATACATGCACAATCATGTGTGCGCATGCGCAGATGCCCAGAGAGCGTAGAAAAAAATCTGCTGTTTATCTTTTAAGGGCAATCAGCCTGCTCAATGACAGCATGACAACAAGCCAACTGATTCAACATGTGACTGATCTCTCATACTGATGTCTTTGTGAAAAATCCAGTCTATTAGGTCACTCGGATATCTAACACAGTCATTTGAGGCCTGACCATACTCATGACCATAGACCTGAGAGACTCAAAACCTCCTCGGTGGGGATGTTATTTTTAAACTACTCATCAATACTCACATTAGAATTTGGTGGAATTACCTTGTGAGACACCATGACTTTGAATTTTTCTTAAAAAGAAAAAACAGTTCAAATATGTTGCATCTCTTAAGAAAAATAAAACTAGAACAAGTTTAATGACAAAGGGATCAATCTATTCTTGAACTAAAATAGGATATAAATCTTCAAGCTACATCTCAGATCCATGTCTTATGTGATGTTGTTTGACAGGATAGTTTCCAGCCCTTGAATCTGTAGATATTTCTGTCCTCCACTACCAGTCAAACAGGAAACTGCAAGCTTCGGGTCTTGCCCCCGCATATGGTTTGACTGGAGGTCAGAATATTGGCACTGACCTCAGGGTGGGGACTCCAATGAGTCGCAACCAGGTGGGTGGAAAACAAAACACCAGTTCTCCCCCTGGGAAAGACAGTGGTATGTAGGGGAGTGTTGGGTGTAGCTGGTACTTTGTACAAGAGACAGGCAAAGGGCAATATGTTTTGCTACGGCACAACCCTAATCTTTCAACTTAGTGAGATTCAAAGTTGCTTGATGAAAACAGACAAACACAAAGACTGACAAGATTCATCTTTTGACGAGGCGAATGAGTCATTTAAAGTACCCAGTTCCTTTGCTGATTTTTCTTCAGGCATGGGTTGTGACACAGGAATCAGTTTTCAGTTCCTTCATACAAATGTGTGGCTACACGCCAGAGTACACTGATGTACTTTCACACAGAGTTCTACATTTAGGCAGTTCTCCTTCTCTTAAGAATAGAAAGTAACAAAACTACCAGCACGCACAGAAACTTCAAAGCGCATTCGGTAGTGGTTCTTATTTAAAACAAGACAGAATTCCTTGCTGTCCAAGTCACAGTGTTGAGTGGTGCAGAAAGAGATTAGATCAACTGTCAGTCAGATCATGTGCACTGCATTTTTTGTGACAAGTTCAGCTGAGGATGACTGGTTTGAGGGAGGCAGCTACAGTAAGCAAGGCTCAGCGCAACATGGAGGTGCTGCTGTAAACTTTGGAATCAATGGAAAACCTCACATACACTGCAAGATTCAGATAGAGAGGGAGAGAGAGGGAGAGGGAGAGAGGGAGAGAGAGGGCAGCTTGCTGAATAAAACATCCTGAAAGCACTTTCATGTCAGTCCCTGTTGGCTGGGCTGGAGAAAACCCAAACTGGATCTCATCTCCACTGCAACAAAGGCCCTGTCAAATCAACAGCTACTTCTACGCAGATCAAGCAGTCAAAGGCACAATCAGCGCAAAGGGAATCTCTTCAAACAGGAGCTGATTTCCCAAGGGCTGGGGACAGCAAATGTAGACGCTGAGAGACACGGATCACCTAGGAAACTACTCACTAAGAGAGGACCAGGTGTTGCTTCTCCAATTGACCTCTATGTTTACAACTAAAACACATGCACCCAGACACCCCTATTGGACACACACCACATCAGGTGTAACACTTTTAGTTTACTGATACATATTTCCACACAGGATCAAAGCATACTTCCATGGGAAAAAAATGTAACTGGCAGACCAAACATATGAAAAGGCTTTCCTAAAATGTAATCTTCAGCTTGGATGAAAACATGTTTCCATCATCGATACCATGGTAAATAAATGATGTTCAGCCCCTACTTCAGCGTGCTGATGAAAGTACACTCATTGTTACACGTGTCTTTCTCTGATCACATTTCTCCGTCAAAAGAAGGCGCATAAATTGAAAGATGTATTTCCTTCAGGCGAAATCTAACAACACGTTGCTTTAGGGATTGAAATGATTCAGTAAAAATTCTAATTAAAAAAACAAAACAAAAAAAAACACCTCCTGTATCAACCCACACATTTCCAAGTGAAACCTAATGATAGATGACGTGTATATAAGAGTATTAAAGACCAGGTCTTGTGCTTTTTAGGTTGTCTCTTTCCTTTTCGTGAGTTGTAGCTTGTTTGTGCATGCAAAATTACAAAACGTAAAGTCCACACCAAACGGGGTTATTCTATCCCCCAGAGGAGACCGCTCTTTACCTGTCTGAAATGCTTTGGTTGAGGCATTAACTCTATCTAAAAATAGACAAACCATCCGTGACATTGCGATTTTGAGGCCCAGTGTTCTGGCTCCAGCTGTAGTTATCTTGATGCCTCCTAACTCATGGCTAATCAAAAAATGAGCAGAGAAGCAGAGGGTGGCTAAATCAGAGTGGGCTATGCAAACCTCTCTGGACTGTCACACAAAGAGTCCACATCCTTGATTACACATAAATTAAGCCTTAATACAATTAAAACAAATGAGTTCTATAAAAACTCACCTCCAGTATATTTGTCATCAACAGGCAAATTAGCTATAGAGACCAAAACCATTTATTTGTACCGGGCTGTAAACATCTGACATGACTTCACTTTTTAGCTCCAGAGGTTGCACCCTGGTTTTAAGTCTGGCTTTTCTTCTGTTACTAATCTACATTATCATGTAACACATTTGCAAAACTCATGCCCAGCAGCTAGTTTGGTACTCCCAAACAAAGACAAAGAACAAGCATGTTCCTAGGAGTCTGCCATTACTTCCTTGCTTGAGCCATATCCCTCTGCCTGTAATCATAGATCTTACAGCACATAACCAACACTGCCTTGCTTTTGTTGGGCCAGCTAACCAATCACAGTAGACTGGACTTTTCAAGGGGAGTTCTTGAAGTGAAAGGAGCTAAAAAGAAGCATTTCAGACAGATACTGAAAAGAATGCATAATGAAACTGCTTTTTGAACATTAAAGCACGTGAAAATCTCTAGTACACCCCCCAAAAAACGATAAGCCCGTTAATGTACATAATATGAACTCTTTAAGAACTGGTGTTCCTGTTGAAGGCCAAAGTGAGCGAGGCCATTACCACGACAGAAAAATGAAGGAAACAGAGGAGATTTATCAGGTATATGTTGGTCACTTACCCAAATCTTTGGATCCTTGACTCTCACTGGCCAGTTCACCCATTCTGACCAGAGCATCAAAGTAGCCTTTGGCAGCAAATGTCACATCTAGTAGTAAAGAGAAGAAAGAACAAAAACAAACCAGGTTGGTAGTTAAGTTACACGTTACAAAAGTGTCTTTTCATGTTGAAAAAAAACAAAAACTAAACAAACATATTATTTACTTTCCCTCTGTTGTTTTTCAGACGCTCTTGAAACAGTGATTGACAGTTTGTCGCAATCAGAAAATAAGGCAACACTAATGCTGCTACACAAATTATCCTGTTATCATTCTGCATGCTTGATTGCAAAGAGGAAATTACGTTCTGACAGAGGATCTGTGCTTGCTAGGCAAGCTAAACAAACACAAAAAAGCTTTTCACCTATCTTGTGTTTCTAGTTAGTGTTATAATTATTAGAAAGTCTGCTTTATTATAACCCCAAGGAGTGTGTGATAAGAACTGGAAACACGTCTTTTGTTTAGTTCACAATGAAAAGCTTTTATAAATGTAACATATATAATAGGTGCCACACATCGCACTGAGTCCATCAGGAGTTTGTGTGTGTGTTTAACTGTTGTGTCTGAGTCAATATTATAGATGTTAATATCAGTCTAGTCTTGCATAGAAAAACCTATTTCTGCAGCATTGTGTTAGCGGGAGGAGAATGGTCTGCATGCACCTCATTATCACTCTGCTACTGACATCAAATTTTTTGGCGTGTTTATATTACTTTAAGCCAACCCCAAATGTTGCAAGTGGTGGTAATGCTCAGATGTCTCTGCAAAGAGTGATATTGGAACTGTTTTGGTGGAACACTTGAACACAACGAGGTGACCACTGTCATTAAAATGGCAAATTCACATAAAGAATCAAACAGAGATGCCTTCTGGCACCATCGAAATGTTTGATAAAAACTTAGAATCTTTCAATGTGTGGTTGCTGCCTTGACACTGTTGCAGTCATTTCTCATAGCAAAGGGGATTTTCAAACAGTGGAAAGGGAGGAGGAAACTGTTTGAAAAACGCAGCATAAATGGCATGCTAATACCTGCAGTCTACATCCTGTGAGTCACTAATATCAGTCTGGACAAGAGGAGCAAAGTAACTGGGTGGTAAAGTATTTAGGCTAGTTTGGGTCAAAAAAAAAAAAAAAGCACTGGGGCATTTTTCATTCCAGGGCTCTTTCTGATCTATGACAAAAGGCTGCTAAAATTCAATATTAGCACTGAATCACTGTGTTCCCACCAAGGAAAGAGCAATGTCATGCTGTTAACCACATGCTGTTAACTATCACTCACATTCTCCCTCTTCCATTCCATTTAATCTGTGTTGTCAATATGTCTGGACACTAGACAGCAGGCTGACACAGTGACTTGGGAAGACTAGGTCAAACAATATGTTTTTTTTTTTTAGGGTCAATACCAATACCGATAATTAGTAATCAAGGAGACAGATAACTGATATTTGGAACCAATATATATTTGCAGTTTTAAAATATAGAACAACACAAACTCCAACACAAAACTTTGTTGAAATGTCTTTGTTTATTTACTTATGCTTCATTAAAAGAGAACTTTTTGCCATTTATCCTCCTGTGTTGGACGTCAATACACATAACCAATCGGACAGATCTAGGGGCGGGACATTGATCAAGAACACAGAGTGACAACTACAGTTACATAGAGGAGGTGTACCTAAGCCAAAGTAAAGCATTTTTTAAGAATTAATTTTAGTGGGAATCAGCTTAAAACAAACAACAATTGTGATAATCAGAAAACTTCATATCGGATCTAAAACTTGGCCAGAACAATAATCTGTCGATCACAGTGGTAGACAGATGATTGACAGATGAACTACATTCATCCACCAGTCACCTGCTGGGATCCCCCTTGGTTACAGTGAATGTCCACAGGGTTGCAGATGTACACGCACAGATACTCATGTAGACACAAAAAGTCCGACTTTTGCCCTAGATCTTGAGCATACACAAAAACAGCAAATAAGGCTAATGCTAATCAGCTGTCATATCTCTTCTTTTTGCTCTCCAACGACATAAAACGTCATCCTGACCGCACAGCTCAATATCCACCTCAGCCCTCGCTGTTCTGACTGCTGCTGTGCTAACCAGCTAAGGTCACACAGGGCAAAGGCAGCTTCCAGTGAATTCTGCCTCACTGCTACACAGTCCTCCACCAATCAGCCCATCTCCACTGAATAATGGCCATTGCCTTTGGAGGTGAATTCAACAGCAGTCCAGGTGACAGATGGGCCCTGCGTCTGCAGACAGCTGCCAGGTGAGAGACACATTTACAACAATACCCTAGCAGGGGCAGGATAATTCCACCAGACAGATGCAGCCACCCTGCGACAGAGGAAGTTTCCCGGGATGGAAGCCTCGAAGCTCTGCTCTGAGACTGAGGAACATATGCTAATGCTAATCCCAATTACAGCTGAGTCAACAGCAGAAGATGGTGCGTGTTTCCTTCCTCCTCTCTTGCTGGGGAAACACCTGAGAACTAGAAGCAGAGGCCTCAGAGACCTCCCGCCTGCCTCGATGTGAAAACTGTGTGTCAATGTGTAAGTGTCAGTTCACGTGAGTTTGCACATGAGTGCCCTGGGGTTATGTAGGTAGGATGGTAGTACACTTGTTGATGCTGCTGTAAGCATGTGAGATAGCGTGTGTGTGTGTTTGTGTGCAGTTGAAGGATGGCTGAGTAGATAAGCTGGATCTATACGGATACTTCTGTCTAATGAAATGTGTGTTGAGGGGTTCACAGAGACAGACGGAGAGGATTAGCAGATCTCTGATTGCAAGTGAGACAATCGGTAGGGGAGGGGTTCGCTTCAGAGCTAGTGATCCATCACTCATCCTTCTCTCTGGAGAGGAGAAAGAACCACATCTCTTAATCAGGACAACAATCATTTCTTCTACGTGTGTCGATTGCAATAATTTCAAGGGGAATTGTATAACAAGTGCTGTGTTTGGTAGGCAGTTGGACTCATTCAGTTGAATGCATTTGTTGCTTTTACACTTTTCAAGCACTGTGAAATTCAGTGATTGACTGCTGTGCTGGAAAACCTGGAATGCACCCATATCCAGATCTAGAAGGCCTACACACGAAGCCCTTTTGGCATTTGTGGTGTTGAATAATTTCAGCAATTGCACCATATGGGTGGAAACGTGTCCTGCTATCCCCCTGCAAATCAGAGCTGCTTAGTCCCTTGGGTTTAACCAATCCTGCAAAGTGGGTCTTTAATGGCTCAGTGAGCCCCTACCAGTCTGTCTCCTACCTACTCCAAGGCCAGGATTAGCTATTGTGTGTGTCAGGGGAAAGACAGACAGGCTTGGGGAGGGAGGGAAAACCCCCACTAATGGCTAGATTAGTTGACTGAGGTGGTTTGGGCTTCTTTTGGGCATTTGGAGGAAATGTTTGGATGAAATGAAAGATCCTAAAAAGCATACTACAGTGTTGTAAACAAACATAAACATACATTTCTTTTGTGAATCTGACTGCTGACAGTGAGTTATTCTCACCTTTGCATCAGATTAAAGGTCTTTTGTGTTTCTCTCAATACACCACCATTACCAGTTAGAAGTTACACCAGAGGCTGTGCACCACATGATAAGCCCTGTCCATTTGGCACAAGGATAATTATTGTCCTTTCTTAATGAGTTGAAAAAAAAAAAGATAGATAAATGTATGTACAGAGATAGAGATAAGAGAAAAAAAGAGTGCTTCCTTGGCCAAGTGCCTGAACCTGCAGTGAATCAGGAAGCAAGAAATAAATAAATGAGGAAAATGACTTACTGGCGAGGGCCTTCTCATAGTTCTTCCCCATGGCAACAAAGTTCCGTAAGCAGGGGTTGAACTGCTCCATGATAGTCTGAAAGAGAAAACAAGAGATACATAGGAGTTGGAGGTTTCACTTATCATTAGAGCAGGGTCAAGAGCAGAGAGGACTTGCACCTTGCTAAATTCATTCTCTCTGTCGCGCTCTGCCTTCTCTTTCTCTTTCTGACATACACCTCCTGCACTAAACTTGCTCATACAGAGCAAAAAGCTATCGACAGAATCTTTGGAAACACCGAGGAACAAGTCTGTTTCTGGTAACTTACAGGACTTAAAGGATGTGCTGCAAACATTTTGGTTCCAGGGCACCTTCTACAAGACCTTCAGGGCCTTGCAGTCAGTGCAGTCAGTGTTCTGGCAGCATGCAAAGGACCCACAGCATATTAGAAAGGGATGGTCTGAACGCTTTGGCTTATCAGTTTGTCTTTATATGATGCAGGTGCCTCATAATATAAGACAACAATCTCATTTTCATCGTTACAAGACACAAAGATCGTACTTTTGTTATCGCAGGAGCAGTACCTTGTGTTAATATAGACATACAGCTTTATTCTACACTTCCAAGCTGAGTCAGTCTAAATGCTGAGAATGCACGATGCATGACATCTCTCACCAACATAGTTTCCTCTGCTTCTCTTCTACCTCTCCTCTCCTTCCTCCTCCTGTGCTCCTCCAGGGCTTCCTCCAATTAGCCAGTCCCCAGTCAGAAAGTCAGGAATATCCAGGGGACAGAGAGACAACCACAACACTGCTGCAGCAGCAGTCCCTACACAGTCCATCAATACTGCAGGAGAACACTTTATAATCTACTTCTAGCCTGAATCCACACTGTGGCAAAATAATATGGCAAGATGCCACCACTGTCAACCTGAAACAACCCCACCAGCTCATCCTGAAAATCGAATGCCTCTTATCCTCAGTGAGACTTCAACATTTTTTTGCCTTTCCCTTCATCTTGCTGTCTGTCTTTTGTTTTTAATGAGAGCCAAGATTTGAATAGAACAGTATATCTGTGTGTGTGTGTGTGTGTGTGTGTGTGTGCTGTGGTGTCAGGAGCTGTAGTTCAAGTGGCTTGAGTACAGCACAACCCACCTACAGTCGAAATACCAATGAGTCAGACATAAACCACTGATACTTTCATTACCAACAGTAACTATCTTACTACGCCTCTCTGTGACTGCGCTCGCATCGAAAGCCGATGCAGCAAAAAAACTGGACTGGATTACAAAAATAGGGACACAATGGCAAAAAAGCTGCAAATAATCACAACAATAACGCATGTAAAAGATGCAGCTTGATTTATTGTGTTGTGTTTAAATTAGACTGGTTCTTAACTACACAAGCATGAAGAGTTCTAAAAAAAAAATCATTCACATAGAGATTTCTGTGGCTCACCAGAATTATTTGAAGCTTTAACCGTTGTCATGGTGATCAACATCCAAATCAGTATTTGACTGCTTCATTTGGGTTTTTTTTGTTGTTGTTTGTTTTTACTATGTATACATTATCACAAAAATCACTAACATCAAATGAAACAAGACATATTATGCCAGCATTTCCCCATTATGTGCCAACATTATGTAATATTAGTTATTAGTGACTCACAGCTCTCATCTAATGTTATCAGCACTGACACCAGGACAACGGCACATGAAAATGTGACAGAATGTGTAACTATGCTCGAAAGATGTCAAAAGACTCAGGCTTCTGGATACAATATATAGTTTTGAATAAAATTTGCAGGAATGATCCCAAAAAAGCTGAGCACCTAATATCAAGAGTAATAATATTAGATCACCCGCTGTGGCCAGCTGACACGTTTTTGTAGGTGCATATGTTGTCTACCTTGGTCAGAACGGCCCTAGTTGTTTGTAGGGATGCTATTTTCGTTATCAATTAATGCACCAACAGCATTCTCAGTACTCTCGAACTGATCAAATGTTTGGTCTACAAATATGAGAAATTGAGAAAATTGCCCCTATATTTAGCTGTACTTGTATTTTTTTTTTCAACCAGCAGCCCAGGACTCAAAGATATTCAGTTTATCTTATGTAACAACAAAAAGCATCAAACACTGAAATTTAACAGGACGGATCATGTTTCAAAATAGTTGCAAATGAAGTCATGTCAAAGAACTTTAACTGATATTTGAAGCGTTGTAGTTGTTTCCATAGTTTGCTGCATTTTGCAAACATACATTGTACACAAAGTTTATTTAAGATTTCTTTGAATTATGTACACTAGTTTCACAAAAAAAAAGATCTTTGCAAAGTTATTCCTGAAAAATGTTCTCAATAAAAAAGCACATACTGCTCATTGTTGTTTATTTTTTTTGTGACAGCTCACTGCTTTACATAAACTTATTCCAGAGCTCGCAATAGCAGAATGAGCAATACAGCAACACATGTTTAAACAGTTCCCTTTTTTCACCACTTGGCTGTGTATGTCTAATATCTAAGAAGGAGAGGAATATAATTAGGGGGAGAATCCCATCTCAAGTACACAAAGCACTTGGTACAAAAGGTATCCCCCACACTCTCTGCCTCTGGGAAGATAAAAGACATCCCCCCAGGACCTCACTGAGGAAATGTTTATTCCTAAGTGATTCTTCTCACTGTGAATTCTAATGTGAAGTGCACCTCATTGATGAGGATAAGGTCACATGAACGTGTGCAAACTAACGCGTATTTGGTGCGTGCGTGTGTACTCGCGTCCACATTAATAAAAGGCTTTGTAATAACGAGTGGTGGTGTTTCAAACTGGTGGGAGGATTACATAAAAAAGCAAGGCCCAGTGCAGCATCATTACAGCACACTCTCCCACTGAAGAGGCCAAAGGTAGCTGACACAAGCCTAGCTGGCTTTCGTGCACATTCTGAACATGCAAGTACACTCGCTGACCCACTGCCGCTGAACAAACACACGGGCAGCTATGGAGCAGCTCGACATAAAGAATCACATGATTATCTGCTGATTTATTATATAAGAGACAGAAACTGCAGTGTCTTTTAAATGGCATGCAGTTAAGGGGAAGTGGAGAGCGAAAAAAAAAAAAATACAGTGAGGGAGTTTCTTTCCTCATCTCTTCCCATTGTTGCTAAATTTGTCATCCCAGTTCTCTTGTACTACATTGTTACCCTAATTGTGGCAGCTAATTGGGAAATGGGGCCAGGAGACACTTAAGGTTGTGTGACATGGAGAGAGAGAGAGAGAGAGAGAGAGAGATAGAGGGAAAGAGAGGAAGAGAGAGAGAGAGAAAGGAAAAATGCAAAGATGAGGACTTCTAAGAATTATGAACAATGGTATGTATTCCTGTACTGTGGTGACTTTACATTCAAGCTCTCGGTATCATCTTCTAATTAAAGAATTAATAAAATAAGAAATAAGTCAGGCCTGGAGAATAATCTTCTCTTTCCCTGAGAAGGAGAGTCTGTCCATTTTTTCCACTGCCTATATGAGGACTGAATGAATTCATTATTAGCACTCGGGGCAAAAATTAAAGCAGACAATTAAGAGAGGGCAGTGCAATGTCTCCTGCAAAATGAATCAAATCTGTCCGACACCCATTTCTGCTATGAGATGAGACGGGGAGAACATAGAGGATTCTAGAGCGTAAGCATAAAGGGAGTAGATAAAGGAAAACATTTTTAAGCGGGTTAATATGATTTCTCCCAGTGCCCTAACCAAATGAATTTCTCCACAGTGTGGAAGTAGCGATTGAAACGAGGTCAGTTTATCTGAAGTAGACAGCAGATTTAATTTATGGGATATTCATCCATCTCTGCTCATTCTGTTCTCCTCTATCACACACTTACACCTACGCACACAAACATAGTAATGACATGCAAAGGGGGCAATTTGAAAGTAACACCAGCTGATTAGAACCAGGGGGAATCGCACGCAATCAGAAGCCAGGATGCCATCATCTGTTCCTTCTCGCCCTCCCCTCGCTCCTTCCTCCTCGCTCCCTCTCCTACACAGCAACTTGCCACAGGCCTGAAAATGCCCAGGATCAGATGAACACTAAAATCGTCAAGGACTGTATCCGCGTGGACTGCAAGGGTTGTCATGTGGTGAAAGCAAACAGAGGCAGCCAAGCCTAATGACGTAATCAGAGAGGAATGTAAAGAAAGAGGATAATGTGTGGATTGACTTCTGGCAACAATACAGTTGGTCTTTTCTTTCTTAATAAGGAGCACTGTGAGATTAGGATGGGTCTCGATCAGCTCGGGGACAAGGGTGACCTAAACTAATTACTGTGCTAAGACCAACTAGTCAGGCTGCAGGGGAATTTCCTGTCTAGTTGACCCCACTGAATGACGAGGAACAGTGGATCAAGACTGGACATGTCAGGTTGTAGGCGTCTCACCACCTCAGCCACAGCCTTTTGGGGGAAACCCTGTGTTGCACTGAAGCTTCAACAATGTGCAATAAACAGTGCAATGTATGGTCACATAACATCATAAATCAAGTGTGTAATTTAAGAAGTAACTACATTTCTGCCATATTGTTATCTTATATTATAATGTGATGCTAAAAGCTCAAACTAGTAGCATATTTTCTGGATGTTTACAGCAATGCAAACTCTGTAGAAACTTAGTTTTAAAGTTAACTTTGCACTATGCAAATGTGTACCCAAGAAATTAACTACAATTAAATGACGTTAAAATCAATGCCACTTAGTTCGATCTCAGGGATGCTCTGCATGTTAATGCAAATTCATTGCCCTGCATTTATCACACGGTGTCGGTTAGTCGATTTGAAAATTCCCTCTACAGAATAACTTTGGTGCAATTTGTCTATGTATGCATGTCTTCCACATTACCGCAGGTGTTTGTGTACAATTAGACTGAGAGTGCATATGCTAAGTGTAAATCTTAAGAAAATCTGATTGTCCAAACATGCCTGACCAGTGTGTGAACTAATTGCCGCATGACTTTGGAGATTAGATTAGCAGAGCTTTAGGGTGCTGTAGTCCTGCAGAAGATTGAGTCGCTGACTCCACACCAATAAGTGTGTGTGAAGATAATAAATA